TAAGACATTGAGCCTTTTGTTATAGGTGTAAGAAGAAACTAAGTAAGTTTATTATGATGCAAGTTTTAGTGTAATTTAGTTCAGTTTTCCCCCTCAGTTATAATCAGTGTTACAGATTCAAGTTTCAGAGCATGTATTTGAGACTATAAAGGTGCTTCTTAAAACTGAACAAAGGACCTGCTCTAGAATTTTGTGCTTTGTATAGGAGGTGGCAAGACACTCGTTTCACAAGTCACTGTGTATGGTAAGCCCTCTGCATTAAGTTGTATCTCTTTGGGTTGTTGTAAGTTTTTGTTTTGGCAGCTGATGGTTCAAAATTTAAAGTACACGCATGTTCCAGGACATTGGAGGAGTGTGGCAAAAACCCCTTCTCTTAGTGATTGAGAGTAGTGGGTCCTGAATCAGGTGATGATGACTCTGAGGCAGCAGCTCATCTCTATCCCTTTATCTAGATTTATGTTGTTGACATTTCGCCATGTTTACCTCATCAGTTTTCCCCCTAGCTATTTAGAAGTGAATTACAGACATCATGGCATTTAGCTCCAAAATACCTCAGCCTACACCTCAAAACAAACAAACAAACAAACAAAAACCTTTCTTCTATATAACCACAGTAATGTTTTCATGAAATTAAAAATAACTGTCTAATGGATGCTATTACTTGTCCATTATCTTAATTCCTTGAACTGTGTCCCCAAACTGTCTTTCATAGCTGGAACTGTTGAAATTCAACTGCAAATCGAGTATTGCATTTCATTGTTAGATCTGTTAAAACTTCTTAATCTAAGAGTAGTTCCTCTCTTCTCCCTTTCAAGTGACTATAGAAGGCAGTTTAACTTTATATATATCATCATTTTCTGGTGGTATTGTCCATTACTTTTCCCCGTATTCCCTGCATGGAAGAAGTCAAATCAAAGGCTGACTCAGATTCTGTTTAACATTGTGTGCAGGAGTGGATGATACCGTATGCATCCGAGGGACATAGTGTCTAGTTATGCCTGGAATGGTGCTAAGACTGATCCTTGGGTTAATACGGGGGCTGTCTGATCCCTCTGATATCAAATTAGGTTTTCCCGCCAGATGACCAGCAGGTACTTCATGAGACAATGTGTTGGCATTGTATACATGTAAACTTTAAATATTAATTTACCTTTTCTCCACAAAACATTGGAATTTCTGGTTTTGTTTTTGTTTTTACTCCCCCCCACCCCTTTTACCCCTTTAAAAGCACACTGCACAAAGTACATCTGCTGCATTGACTAGTGGTGAAACTTTGAGACTGTAAGTGCTTCAGTTATTAAGCAATTTTAGGGCAACAGTGATCAGACTGTGTACAGACTGGGTCTAGTGATGGTCAACCTGTTAGAGCATTTAGTGATGACAAATGGCCCACTGCAGCCTGAATGCCATCGGTTCATCACCACTAATATAGACCGTTGGGCCCTGCAGACGTGACAGGCTACATGGATGTGCTTATTTGGCCAGTGGAGCACTTAGACATACATACATACATACATACATACAAACAAACAAACAATTTTTTTTAAAAACCCTGAGTCAGCGTTGAGGAGAAGAGTACATGTTAAAAACCAGATTCCCAGGTTTCCAGGAAGTCTTGGTGATCTAGGCACAGTGGGATGTCATCTGTGGGAGGGTGTGTAGCTGGGGGGATGTGCTGAATTTTCCCTGTTAGATGAATTGAGCCCTTTGGCCACTAAGGACCCCACACATCCTGTTGTACGATATGCAGCTGGCTTCCCCAGGGACCAAGAGACAGGCCTGCGTTTGATTTTGTGTCCTATACACAATCTTTAGCACTTAGAACTGACTTCCCTTCCTCCCCTGTTGCAGAGCACCTTTCACTGTGCAGAGACCGAGTTGTGATCTGCATACTCTGTGTGTCAGTGTCTCTCTCTGGAGGCTCATGTGAGCAGCCTTGTCTAGGACATTGCTGAGAATCACAGCCTCAACCAACACTAATGGCCCCTGGGCCAAATAGCGTTTATCTTAAAATTCCTGCATCAAATAGCTTGTATAGATACTCATAGAGAACCTAACTCCTAGGTTAGCTGTCCTAATTGTTTTCCTGCCCACCTCAAGAAACCAAAATGACATTAAGAATATTAACCTTTTCCCTTCAGATTTAAAGACTCTTCTAATTCCAAAACAGCCACATATCTCCTTATGTTTACTTTCTGGTCTTTAAATGTATGAATGTATTCAACATCCTTTCAAGCCATGCCTGTGATAGCTTGTGTATCATCCAGCTCACCAGGTTTCCCAGAGGGACGCATTAGAGGTGGCAAGTGGGTAACTGCAGAAGGCAGTGTGTCTCCAGTCTGTGTGAGACCCCAAGGCTTCCTGCAGTCTAGATAGTGCCATAAAAATGGATCTTTCTGACAATCTTGAATCACTGTTGTATCTAGTATGCCCTAATTGAGAATGCAGAGAATATCTGATCTGTTTAAAAGATTTCCTTACAAATTGTTTTTTCTTGAGGGTTAAGAGCAGCCTTCCTCATTTTTGAATTTGAAGGGTTTTGCCTTTCCTCCAGATACATGAATCTCTAGGAATCACAAAGGAGCCTTTTCCTCCTCTAAGGACTTAACAAAGAGCAGAAGGAAAATCTAGTAATCTTGCCTTCCTTGTTTCCTAGCATGCAGTTGTGCTATATCACTGAGAAATGGATGTGTTTTAGGAGAATGAGGATGCCTGACACCTAGTAAGTTCTTGTTAAACTTTGCCAGCCTGGTCAGAGTGGAGTCTGGGAGAAATGAAAAATTATGAAGTGTGAAGAACTTTGGGGATAGTGTTGTCCCTTGACCAGCAAAGGCAACAAGGACAGCAGAGTCTGAGCACAGTTTTGAGGGTGGTGCCACTGAATCCTCCACCTGACACCGTGTTGTGAGCACTGGAGCCCCTTCTTTGCCTGTTCCCCAGTTGCGGCTCCCCCACACACTTTTTCTTCCTTAGCGTCGGGCCTTTGCCTGTGTCCCCACTGCTTCCCCCGTGTCTCCGCCCTTACTTTCTATTTTAATGTCTTGCATTTCTCTCACCCTCTTTGCTGTTCCCTCCTTTTGATGGTAGGAAAGAGCTTGAGAAGCTGCTGAAGTGTAAGGAAAGGAGAGTATTGCCAAGCTGAGATGAGTCAGAAGTGAAAGGATTTCTGAAAGTGTGAGACAAGGAGGAAAGAATTTATTTTACAACAATTGGACTACCAACCAAGGCAGAAGGTACTGCAAGGGAGGCTCTGCAAGTGGACTGCTGAGGGCGCCCCTGGCTTCCTCATTACTGGAGTCTGGAAGGGATGGATGTGTTTTTCTGTCTCCGGATGGCCCCACCCTGGCCTCCACCCATCTGCACTGCCTGGGCCACTTGGAGAATGGTTTCCCTGGGTGCACCATCCATTTCATGTGTTAAAGGTTCAAATGCTCTGAGCTTTTAGGAATAAAGCACAATCCAGAATCTATTATGGGACATACCATCAGAACCCTAAGACATTTCTCAGATGCACATCTTATATGTTGCATTACTGAATCGTCTACGAAGCATTGTCATATACTTCGTAAGGTTTTTTTTAAAGAATACTTTTAAGTTAAGGGAAACGTCAGGTTCTCTCGTAGTAAATCTTATGGGCTGTACAGTTATGTAAGTCAGAGGCCATTGAACTTTTTTGTATGAAGAGCCAGACAGATGTTGGAGGCTTCGCAGGAACCTTGATCTCTGACTTAACATAAAAGCATGCTTGACAATATATAAACTATAGGGAAGTTCACACTTTCCTTCTGATGCCTGGAGTTGCATCTTCTGTGATAAACCAACAATAAACAGATGAGCAGGAGAAAAAGTATACTGATTTATTTGACATTTGTTTTTGTGACACAGGAGCTTTCAGTTTGAGGACCAAAAGCCCAGGGTGAACTATCCATTTTGATGCTCAGATTCAGTGAAGTGGGGTCCACCATGTAGAATGTGATTGAGGGGGAAAAACGGTCTGAGCTAATGGAAATAGAAAGAAGGGGAACCCAGCAAGGCTGTCTGTACAGATTCGTTTTGGCCTCCCAGTGTAGCATGTCTTCCTCTGGTTATGGTAGGACCCATCTGAGGTGAAGATTTCAATTTCTTTATGGCCAGTTGTTATACAGAAAGGTGCAGGGAAAGGTTAGAACAGTGAGTTTAGATTTGATGGCTGACTTTGGGATAAAGAGGCTATGGTTTTTATGACCCATCTTGGGAAAGAAGAATTCTCATTTCTTGGCCTTCCTTGTGAGAGGATGAGGGATGAGAGACAAGGGCAGGAGATGGCCAGCGAGGTCTTCTAACAAAACCACTGGGCATGGCTGTGTGCCAGTGGCCCATGGACCATGGTTTGCCAGCCCCTGCACCATTGATTTTTCTATAACAGACATAATTAGAACTATAGAATATAGTATATAATATAGTCTATAGTATTTGGTCATGATTTCCAGATTAAATTTCCATACAGCTGCTGGTTGTTTAATGACAAATAGGGATTCGGCTAGTAGTGACTTTTTTGGGGTGGGAGAGTGGGATTCTTAGATATTGTGTAGCTGTTTTGTTTTTTCTTTGTAAGGGCAGCAAGCTTAAAATAAAACTTAAAAAACTTTTGCATACAATGAATTTTAAGGTCTATAAATGAATGCAACTGTAAAAAGTTTTCATCTTATAGGAAATAACTATTCTCACTGCTTTCTGCATAAATTACATGAATAATAAATATAGTTGAATTTATATGCATACAAACAATTCAGTTACATAACTAAATGAATGTATTGCAATTAAAATATTGCTTGTTTCCCCCTCCTATTTCTAAGACTTATGACCCTAGTACAAATAATGTTTAATAGGGAATCTACAATGTGTAACTCCTCAGTAAATTATTAAAAGAACCGACATTCCTACTGTATAATATCAACATAAGCGATAATAAAATTTGTCTTGACTCTTAATAAATGTGGGCAAACATTGCTGTGGTGTACAGAAGAGCGAGTGAGTGGTAAGATTCTTCAAGGATTGCTTGCATTTCTGCTCTGTGTTGTAGGTACATTATTGTGTTTCCTATATTGAAGAACTGATGATTGGTTTTTAGATGCTTGAAATGAGGCATTCATGGTGGGAAAGTAGAGATGCATTTGAAAGAAACACCCTCTTTCAAGTTTTAGGAGTGACTGAGTTGGAAAAAGTTGAATCTTACAAGTTTATCAGTTTCCTGTTCTGTCAAAAAAAATGGTATTGGTTGTATGTTTTATCAGAACTTTTCTTCTCTTGTGCTGACTTGGAAGTTCATTGAGAACAGTGACTCTCACTTGGGATTTTGAATGCTATCTGGCAAGTCCAGATAACAACAGTCTGTACATTTATTTTTTTCTGCAATGGTTTGCTAGCTGTCCGTACTATCACTTCATTTTCTCTTATTCAGCCATCTTATTCTAGAAATGAGATTTGAACAAGTGGGGACATATAATTTAGGATTATTTGTCCTTGGAGTTTCTGGCCCGCAGTGTCAAAATCTTTGAACTGTTCATTGTTTAAAATGACCTATCTAGCTAGGCATCCATGCTGGGGACCCAAGGTTGTCCTTGGCCCTCTTACACTTCCTTGTCTGGTTGTTGGTGTCCATGTAAAGGATCACTCCAGCAGTGCCCCTATCTTCCCTTCATTCTTCGTCCCTCCACGTATGTATGGACTTGTCTTAGGTATAAATATTGGCCATGCTCTGCCCCTGGAAGAACCTGCTGTGATTCCCTGTGGCCCTGATACATGCAGACACAAAAGCCTCCTGTGAAGCCTGGAGTTTCCCTTGCCCCTTGCCTTGAGTTTTTTCTGAGCAGCCCTACTCAGTCCTGTGAGTCTTCTGTTCTGTGTCTGTCTGTGCCTTGCTGAGCCCACAGCCATTAGCTTCTCCCTCTGCACAGCTGGCTTGTTTTTGTCCTAACTTGGGTTTGTGTTGTGGGGCCTTTGCCCACATTCCCTAGCTGCATAGGCCTGGCCTTTGTTCTCTTGCCATGGGCAGCTCTCTGATGGTGCTGTAGCAGCTTTAACACTTTCCCTCTCTGTACACGTGGGAGTCGTGTCCTCTCAGTTTCTGTGGTCCTATGCGGGCACAGGGCCCCGAGTTCATGACTGCTTTTACCCACTCCACCCTGGATGCGTGTTTGGCACACTGGTGCTCTTTCATCCAGACGCACAGTTTTGATCATCTCTGTCTCTGGACTAAGTGATTTATACAGTTTCACATTATTTTACTCACTCATTTCATTAATTTTTTTGTTCCTTTTATATTCTCAAGATATCTTTAAGACCCTCATAATCTTCAAAATAGGCATTATAAATTTTAAAATATAAAATTTCTCCACAAGTACACATTGCATTATTTCGTACTCCTTCCTACTTTAAATTTAGAAAAGATACATTTTTTTTTAAGGAAAGCCCCACCTGTAACCCTTATGTCAATGGAGAGTTCGTTAAGGGTGGTAATTGTGAAGCCTCTGCCCCTGAGGTAGGTAGGTCTGTCCGCTAGGCTATGCTCCAACGTAGTGGGAGTCACAGCGCCCTCTGGTGGCTAGATCGTCAGGTTTTCATTTTAGATGTCAGCAATGTCTACAAATCTAGTACTGATCTTTTGGAATTTTTTAAAAAGACCATTATTGACCCAAATCTTGTTTGTTTTGACAGGTATTTAAATAACTTTCAAGTAGTGACAGAAAGAGGAAAGAATTGTGTATGTTAAGCACTTTCTACTTTTTACCTAATTGGTTTTAGAGTAGATAATAAATAGTATTAAGCACAATTTTGTCCTTTTTTTTTCTCTCTTTTTCCTGACAGATAAAATGTTGCTCACTACAAAAGGAATATTTAACTGATAGTGGAAAGAAATTTCTTCAAGTGAAGGATACTATATGTAATGTAGTCTCATAAACAAAATGCACTAGATTTCATTTTTAATTTTAAATTTTTTATAGATCAGGACTTTAATAATTCTTTCAGGTTTCTTTAAGAAAGGATTTTCCAAATTAATATAGAAAAATAATAAATAAATAGTTATAAATAGTTGCCTATATCCATTCTAATTACAGGGAATAGACATGTATCATTTCAGAAGTATTTAGATTTGGCTTTGAAGTAAAAAAAAAAAAAAGCCCTTTGCCTATGGTTCTCTCTAAAATTTTAGGAGTTTTCAGTGCCAGCTTAACTTAGCAGTTTGTGACAGAGAAAAAAAAAAAAGCTTACAAGTGATTACAAGTGGGTAGAAAGGTCTTTAAATGTTTTAAACCCTTCCCTGTACTAACTTTGCAATGATGTGTGCAGATAGCATTACATTTCATGTTGTTAATATTGACTCTCAGCAGCAGCAGTTTTTATTTTCATTTATTTTTTAATTTATTACTGGAGTTCCAGACAAATGTTCCACCACTGATCTACATTCCCAGCCCCTTTTGCATTTTATTTTGAAACAGGGTCTCATTAAGTTGTGCAGGTTGGCTTCAAGCTTGTAATCTTCCTGTCTCAGCTTTCTAAGTAGCTGGGATTACAAAAATATAACACCATGATTGGCTTATTTTTTCAGATGCAGGTTTGGCTGATTGTCTTCCTAGTATGTTTGAGTTTTTGTCTTCTTCTTTTGTATGTGTTTTGATAAAATTCTGCTGAAGGTTGCAGGGGTGACAGGGAGAGTTCATTTAAAACTCTTGGTGGATGAAATCTTGGCCAGATTGCAAAAGTGCATATGTTGTGCAGCAAAGAATTTAAAACTAAGGAGGGGTTCTTAAAACAGGAAAATGTTGAGGTTAATTTACCTCCTCACTTTGGAATAATGGACTTCCCTTCCTGGGACACCCTTTACTGCCTGCAAACACTGATGAAATAAGAGGAAAGCCAGGTATGTTTTCAGTGGGGTAGAAATAAGGGGAGGGGGCCTTAGGGAGAAAAATGTCAGTTTTAGATGTTACAGTAAAGGCTTCTCTTCCCCTTTGTAGACATTAAGATTTATTCTCAGGCCTGGTAGGACAGTTCTTACAGCTTTCTCCTATGACCTTGGCATTGATACATTTCTAATACTTACTTTTTTTTCCCCAATCAGAAGGCAGTTTGTTTTCCTGAGAATAATGTTTTCACATGCCCATGAGGATGCCAAGACACTGTATAAATGTAAGGGCTTTCTTTAGATACCACCCCCTGAAAACAGCCAAGCCTCCAAAGTGAATAGATAAGTGAAAATCCTGAATCTGTCTCAGCAGAGAAGAAAAATGCTATTTAAGTGAAATGGTATTCCTTGTGCCTGACAGCCAGAGCGAAGGAGGAAGGAGCGGGAGTGCAGAGCGGCAGTCATGTGGGAGGCTGGAGGGGCAGAAGGGCACCATCACAGGAGTGACTTCATCAGCATTGCTCAGGGCATCACTCGGAGTTCTCTCTGGCCTTCCTTCTCTGCCCTTTGTCTTCCTCGTGCTTCATTTGTTCCCCCTGAGTGTTTGTGTTGATTTGAGGCCTTGTAGCGAATCATAGATCAAGAGACAGCTCCTAATGATGGTGAGTGGGTGGCCAGCAATGGTGTTGTCCTTGATGAGGTTTTAAATGCTGTAAATAGGGCCTAATGTTGGTTGGATCAATGCAGTAAGAATGTCTGTACTAAAGAGAACAGTTGGAGGTCCTTTGAAGGAAGTGGGATCTAGTCTGTTCCTCTGTCCCCCAGAAGAGACCAGAGTGCCAGTGGGCAGCATGTTGTAAATCTTTTTCCAGTATGATAATGAGAATGGCAGATGGGGGATTTTTTCTTTAACTTTGAATTTAACCTGTTAATATAAGTGATGAATGCAGTTGTGAAAACCTCAGTAGACATGGGTGAGGCAGGAATAAGTTCTCTCAGCCTACTTCTGCAAGCCCACTTAGCTGGACCTTTTGAACACTGCTATGTTTTGAATGTATCCCCTTGAAAATTCAAGCGCTGCAGGTGTGATAGTGTTAAGAGGCAAGAACTTGTAACAGGTGATTAGGCCACCAGGGCTCCTCACTTGTGAGAGGGATCCCCGAACATTATGAAAGGCTAGACTGGTGGAGTTCTCTAGCCTGTCTCCCTTCCGCCATCTGAAGCCATAGTGTTCCTTTCCATCGAAGGGTGCCATCTTTACGAGACCTCAAATGATGTTGCCCTGATCTTGGATGTCTACCCGCCAGAACTGAAAAATAAACTTCTGTCTTATAGGTCAGGCAGGCTCTGGTGTCATTTGACATTGTTCTGTGGTACAAGTATTGAACCCAAGATCTTCACACTGAGCTCATCCCCAGGTCCTTTTTAATTTTTTTTTTTTTAACACAGGGTCTTGCTAAATTGCTCAGATTGAATTCAAACTTGAGATCTTTATGCCACAGCCACCCAGAATATAGGCATGACAAGCATGCACCACCATGCCCAACTGAACTTGTTTTTAAGTCAGAATTTACTGTGGAAATATTTCTAGGTCATAGCACATGTCTATGTATCTGCCTTAGCCTTTTCTGTGTTCAAGAATGTTCAAGAAACCACTGTGCTGAAGGGCAGATCATCATTCCTGAAATCCTGGGCCATCAGGACTTGACTTCAGAATGTCCTCAGAGTTCATTTGATAGGAAGAAGTGAGCACAATAGCTTTACTGTTTGCTGTTTGCTGGTGTGGGGCTTGATTTTTTAAAAGATACGTGAAATCTTATTCTGTACACTGTGCAAAGCAGTGGATGGGAATAGCACTCTAGGCAGCGTTCCTGCATCTCAGAGCATTCCTGTCCTCTTCTAAGTCTTTGGCCAACTGCAGGGGGCACCATCTTGAAAGACTCAACCCACCCTCTTCACCCTGAATCCCATCCTCCTGACAAGTGGATCTCCACTGGGAGCCCATCTTTCCACAGAAATAAGGCTCCGAGTTGGGGTTGCCTGCATCAAGTTGACCATCTGTGCAGATGCTTGCTCAGGGTGTGACACTTATGTTGGTACTTCTTGCATTTTTCATTTTTAATCTGGAAGTTCACAGGCTGCAGTTCAGCAGGCTGCCTGCCTGGGTGAAAAC